TAAAACACAAACATTGGGACCGGGCGCGGTGGCTCACATCTGTAATCCCAGCACTTTGGGAGGCTGAGGTGGGCGGATCATGAGGTGAGAAGATGGAGACTAGCCTGGTCAGCATGGTGAAACCCCATGTCTACTAAAAATACAAAAATTAGCCGGGCATGGTGGCGCTCACCTGTAGTCCCAGCTACTCGGGAGGATGAGGCGGAAGAGCCGCTTGAACCCGGGAGGCGCAGTGAGCTGAGATTGTGCCCCTGCACTCCAGCCTGGGTGACATAGCGAGACTGCATCTTTAAAAAAAAAAAAAAAGACAAATAGTGTAGCATTCACTGTAAAAAAATATTTCTTTTTATCCTTATTCTATTTTTTTCTATTTTTAACTTTTTTTTTTTTTTTTTTAGATGGAGTCTTGCTCTGTCACCCAGGCTGGAGTGCAGTGGCGCCATCTTGGCTCACTGCAACCTCCGCCTCCCAGGTTCAAGCAATTCTCCTGCCTCAGCCTCTCCAATAGCTGGGATTACAGGCATGCACCACCAGAGCGTTTCTCTATGTTGGCCAGGCTGGTCTTGAACTCCTGATCTCAAGATCCACCCACCCTGGCCTCCCAAAGTGCTGGGATTATAGGTGTAAGCCACCCTGCCTGGCCTATTTTTAAATTTTTTTGACTTTTTTTTTTTTTTTAACTTTGTAAACATTTTTGTTAAAAACTAAGACACAAACACACTTAAGCCTAAGTCAATACAAGGTCAGGATCATCAATATCACTGTCTCTCACCTCCATATCCTGTCCCACTAGAAAGTCTTTATGGGCAATAACATGCATGGAGCTGTCATCTCCTATGACAATAATACCTTCTTCTGGAATCCCTCTTGAAGGACCTGCCTGAGGCTTACAGTTGAATTTTCTGTTTTTAAGTAGAAGGATTACATTCTAAAATAACAATTAAATAGTATAGTACATAGTATTTATGTAGTAAATACATAATCTGATATCAGAGTCATTTATTATCATTATCAAATATTACATACATACATAATTGTACATGCTGTACTTTTACACAACTAGTAGTGCAGTAGGTTTGCTTATACCAGCATCACCACCAACATGTAAGTAATGTGCTGCACATCATGATGACTAAGACATCACTGAGTCATTGGAATTTTTCAGCTCCATCATAATCTTAAGGAACTATACTGTGGTCTGTCACTGACTGAAACATTGTTACATGATGCATAACTCTGTGTTTTGCAATTTTCCAGACAGTGTTATAAGTGCTTTGTTTTACTTATCTCATCTGAGCTTCAGTACATCCTACTCAATAGGTATTATAGCTTTTTAGTGAGGAGATTTGAGTCTTAGATAAATTAAAGGCCTTCCAAGGTCACATATCTAGTAACTGGGGAAGGAAGGTAAGACTTAAATCCAAGCAGTCTGACTTTGAGCCCATAGCCTTAGCCACTGTATTAAATTTGTCAGTACAATATTGTGTAATAACAGCAATTTGGCTGGGCATGGTGACCCACACCTGTAATCCCAGCACTTTGGGAGGCTGAGGTGGGCAGATCACCTGAGGTCAGGAGTTTGAGACTAGCCTGGCCAACATGGCGAAACCCCATCTCTACTAAAAATACAGTTAGCTGGGTATGGTGGTGGGTGTCTTAATTCCAGCTACTCTGGAGGCTGAGACAGGAGAATTGCTTGAACCCGGGAGATGGAAGTTGCAGTGAGCTGAGGTTGTGCCATTGCACTCCAATCTGAGGTGACAAGAGTGAAATTCCATCTCAAAAAAAAAAAAAAAAAAAAAAAGGAAAAGAAAAAAAAAATAACAGCAATTAGCATTTGCTATGTGCTTCTAAAATACATAAACTATTTTCACATATGTTTTCTCTCATTCAGTGACCTGAGCTCATGTTATCATTACCCTACTTTACAGATATGAAAACTGGGAGATGAAGTGATTTGTCAAAAGTAACAGTACCATTAAGTGGCTGACCTGGGAATTCAACTCAAACATTCTCAGTCCAACTTCTATGTCTTCACCATCCCCAGCTGCTGGTATCTACCATGCAACAGTTTAAATATGGCCAGAGACCCACATTTATGGTTTTAGACATACAAAAAGAAATTTTATTTCAGAAGTCTCTAATAAAACAACTGCATTTAGTAGTTACTAATAAAGAATTCTAATATTCACTAATTATATTTTAGTTGTTACTAATAAAAAATTATACGAGTTCTATTTTTTAAATTAATTAATTAATTAATCTTTGAGACAGGGCCTCACTCTGCCACCCAGGCTGGAGTGTAGTGGCATGATCACAGATCACTGCAACCTCAACCTGCCATGCTCAAGTATCCTCCCACCTCGGCCTCCCAAGTTCCTAGGACCACAGGCATACAATACCACACCTGGTTAATTTTTAAAATTTCTTTTTGTAGAAATAGGGTCTCACTGTCTTGCCCGGGCTGGTCTTGAACTCCTGGCCTCAAAGGATCTGCCCACTTCAGCCTCCCAAGGTGCTGGGATTACATGTGTGAGCTACCATGCCTAGCCTATGAGTTCAAAACCTGGGGGGACATTCCCCAAGCATCTTTGACTTTGGAAGGATATGACATTAACAAAATTTTCACTGGTAACTTTCAAAAAGACTGCACAATCATTTGTTCAGGAAGCTCTATGATATATATTTACTTTATATGTTGAAAGACGTTTACTTATTATTGCTACACTAACTTATCTCTTCCTCTTCTCTTAGATACTTAGTCCTAAAACATGTGATGGCAGATGTCTCCAAAGTGTTTTTTCTTTTGACAAATTAAAATATATTATCAACCTGATTCTGAAAATTAGGATTTATGGGATGAATGTAAAGAAAACAGTTTGGGTGCAGTAGCTCACTCCTGTAATCTCAACATTTTGGGAGGCTGATGTGGGCTGATTGCTTGAGCCCAGGAGTTCAAGACCAGCCCAACATGGCCAGACCTCATCTCTACAAAGAATACAAAAATTAGCCGGATGTAGCAGTGTGTTCTGGTAGTCCTGGCTACTCAGGAGGCTGAGGTGGGAGGATCACCCGAGACTAGGGAGATTAGGCTGCAGTGAGCCGAGATCACACCACTGCACTCCAGCCTGGGCAGCTGAGTGAGATGCTGTCTCCAAAAAGAAAAGGAAAAAGAAAACAGAGGAGAAGCGGTAAAAGTTGCAGAGGCTGAGAAGAGCCAGAGGCTACACAGGAATGGCAGGGGATAGGCTCCAGAACAGTGGTTCCCAACCTTTTTGGCACCAGGGACTGGTTTCATAGAAGATAATTTTTCCATATATGGGGATGGGTTGGGGCAATGGTTTCAGGATGAAACTTCCACTTCAGATCATCAGGCTTTAGATTCTTATAAGGAGTACACAACCTAGATCCCTGGCATGCATAGTTCACAGTAAAGTTCATGCTTCTATGAGAATCTAATGCCACTGATCTGACAGGAGGCGGAGGTCAGGTGGTGAGGCTCGCTCACCTGCCACTCACCTCCTGTGCAGCCCAGTTCCTGACAGGCCATGGACCTGTACCGCTCTGTGGCCCGGGGTTGGGGACCCCTGATCTAGAGGCTGCACTGAGGAATGGCAGGAGATAGGATGGAGAGAAATCTGGATTCATGTGCTAGAGGGTGGCTGATGGTAGTCACAACAGGAGAAAGGGTGTCAATCAAAGAGGACACAGACTTGAGGAGTATCAGTTGTGGGATAAAGGTGAGGGCTTGATGAGGAGTTAGTAGATTAAAGAATATGTCAACCTTCTCTTCAGGGTAATGGATGAAGTGGTATTCTCCACTGTGGGAGGCAAAAGGGAAGACTGTCATTTTATATCACTGTAAGATGGTAGGGTAACTGTTCATGATATGAGGAATAATTAGCCTTATAATAGGAGATTCGAAGAATAGCTGAAAATGACTTGGAAATCTTGAGGGATCAGAAACTGGATATGATTTAATATAGAAATATTAACATTAAATAGAAAGATATTACACTTCGGCATAATAAGGAAGTATTGCTATTGTCTATTCACAAGTTTTACTTTTCAAAAAGCTTTTAAGGTTTACAAACATTTACTGGCCAATTTGATGTTCAGATTAATCCAAGACTCACCTTAGCACATGCTGGTCTACCTGCCTGCTTCTTCAACATACACACATTTCTCTCTTTTATGAACACGTGTAGCATTTATTTTCCATACTACTCACTTGAACTTTGCCATACTTAGCTTCTTAGTTTCATGTTCTACACATACACACCTGTAATCTCACTAGCTAAGTGTGCATGTTTATTCAAAGTAACCTGTATTCGGGCGTACCTGCTACAGGCTTTTTCCTAGAGCTGCAACGCTTAGTTTGGGGCTGACATATTTGTTACTCAGCTATTAATTGCTGAGAGATTATTTAGGCTTTGGTTTAGGCTGTTTCCTTCTTCACAGCCAGCAACAGTTGCAGTGAAAACCACATGGTACAATTTCTGGAAATTCGTGAGTTGTAATTAATTCCCATTTTTACTTCTTGATGAAAGACAATGAGAATCCCTTTAAGTGAGAAATGTGATAAAAACTGGATTTTGAGGAAGCATCACCTCCCCCAAAGGGTAGGCTTCCTTTCTGAGATATCCTAGCTGCCAGGGTTGCTAAGGCAAACCTTTGCATATACAAATTTGGGTCAATGTGTTGACAGGATGTCAGATTTGTGTAGCTAAGGGAGCTTCAGCATGAATATTGAGCTGTATGCCACTCCATTGATGCCCAAATGGACCTGTAGGTGCCTATTTGTACCTGAGGCTATTGGAGTGGAAAATAGAAGCCCTTCTTGTGAAAACCTAACCAAGATCCACAACCCAGCCTTGACCAGCAGCAGTTGGTTTTCAGCACAACTGAAAAGTAAATTCAAAGAGATCTGAGTGATGGCGCACTGATTTCTTTTCATCATACAGCCTGTAATTGCATGTTGCGGTGATTCTTCCTCATAGACTTATTTGTGCATATAGTAGAAGTCTTCCCGGTGGCATGAATCAACAAAGAGTTGAGTAACGAGGAAGCAATTTGATCAGCTAATTTGGAGAAATTGAGTCCTACAACTATTATTTAGTTCATCAAAACATGTAAACCTCAATGAGAACAATGAAATGTGTGACAATTCTTTTTTACCAGAAAAGTACTGTTTGAAATTATATTTTAGGGTTATGAAAATTTTACTTGGGATTGAACACAGTAAACTTCAGATGACTTTTATATTATTTAAGAAAGAGAAGTGTGAGTTAAATAGTGTTCTCCATAAGCACTTGTTTTAACCTCTGTTACGTAACATTTTGTTACCAAGGATTCTACTAGTTAGCGCTTCTACATAGGTATACTACAATGATAATTGATGTTATAACTGATCAATCATGATGATTTTCAGTCATTGAATGACCTTTTTAATTATCAAAGTTTCAGCTGTGCACAATTCTAGTTTTACTTGCTATTTGTTTTTAATTATTATTTTATAAGAATTGTCAATCTATTAGAAAACCATTAGCTAGATTATTTGAATAATATCCATATCCTCCAATCATGTAAGGTAACATAATTTATTTTCTTTGCTCCAGTAGGCACCTAGGGTATTTGAAACCTTGAGGAGATCATTTTTAAACACTCCCCTTGTCTTATACCACAAAACTATCTTCTGTAAAATTTATAAAATGAAAACAATAATAATAACAACGTCTAAAACACAAAAATAAACCATGAATATTTTCTTTTACTGAACTTTCAATTTATAATTGTTCAGTAAAGGAAAATAAATAATTCTAAATAAATAGAGATTATAGTGCAAAAAAATAGAAAAAAAATGAATTAATAGTCTGTAAGTATATTAGTGCATTTTTTGAGAAAAGGGAAATATTATATCTACATATCAGTCTGTTGCAGTAATAAATAATAATATAATGCTTGCTTTCCACCTTGAGCTATAACTTCTGCAAATTTGTCAGTGACTTTGTCAAAATTGATATTTGCACACTTATATTGAGTAGGTAATATAGTTAGACTTATCTTTTCCCTTCGTTGATTAAAGAACACTTTTGACGGGGCTCAGTGGCTCACACCAGCAATCCCAGCACTTTGGGAGGTCAAGGCAGGAGCGTCGCTTGAGCCCAGGAATTTAAAATTAGCCTGGGCAACACTAGCAAGTTCCCATCTCAAAAAATAAACAAATAAATAAAACCCTAAAAAATTAAGAAACTTTAAATTAACTTTAGTTTTGAATGTTTCTTTTATATGAAGCAAAATATAACAATAGGAAAGGTTTTAAACATGATTTTGGCAGAAATTCATAAAAATCCCATTTTACAATAAATCCCATGTCTTTGTTCCTTCAGGATCAATTCTAATGGCTTTTAAATGTTTCTGCAGTAGAAAAAAATATATAAAAATTCCCAGTGAGCACTCAGGATGACAGGATTGAAGTACCTCAAACTCTATTTTTTTGTCTTTATAATTGCTATGGTTTGAATGTTTTCCCCAAATTTCATGTGTTGAGAAATTAATCCCCAAAGTCACGTGTTGATGGTATTTGAAGGTAGGATCTTTGGGAGCTAAAGTTTGCTCCCATAGAGGTTGGGGCCCTATGATAGGATGGTGGCTTTATAAGAAGAGAAAGAGAGAGCTAAGCTGGCATGCTGTTGTCCTCTTGACATATGATGTCCTCTCTACATGCAGCAAACAGGACCTCACTAGATGCCAGAAACCTGATGTTGGGCTTCCTAGCCTCCAGAATTGTAAGAAATAAATTTATTTTCTTTATAAGTTACCCAGTCTGTGGTATGCTGTTACAGCAAGAGAAAATGAGCTAAGACAAAATATTGTTACCAGAAGTGGGGTTGTTACTATAACAGATATCTGAAATGTGGAAATAGCTTTGGAATTGGGTAATGAGTAGAGGCTGGAGGAATTTAGAGGAGCAGGCTAAAAATAAGCCTGTATTGCCATGAACAGAGCATTAAGGGTGATTCTGCTGATGGCTCGGAAGAAAAGAAGACCAGGGAAATTCTGGAACTTCTTAGAGATTACTTGAGTGGTCATGGCCAGAATGTTGAAAGATAGTAAAGGTCTCAGGTGGAACTAAAGAACAAGGCATTGAAAAACTGAAGCAAAGACTATCATAAAGTAGCAAAAAACTTGGGTGAAGTGTGTCTGTGCTTTATGGAAGGCAGAATATAAGAGTGACAAATTAGATTATTTAGCAGAAGAACTATCTAAGCAGCAAAGCATTCAGGCTGCTGCATAGCTACTTTTAACTGCTTACAGTAAAGTAGGAGAGAAAAATATATATATATATATTTAGTAGAGATGGGGTTTTGCCATGTTGACCAGGCTAGTCTTGAACTCCTGACCTCAAGTGATCCACCTGCCTTGGTCTCCCAAAGTGCAAGGATTACAGGTGTGAGCCACCGTGCCCTGCCAAGAAAAGAGATTATTTAAAGACAGAACTTATAATTAAAAAGAAAGCAGAGTTGAAAGACTTGTAAAATTTGCACCCTGGCCATGTAGTAGAGAATGAAAATATTCTGAGCAGAGACATACTAGGGTGTGACCAAGCGACTGCTTGAGATTAGTATGGGTAGAACAGAACCAGAGGCCATTCATTAGGATAATGGCAGAAGAACCTTCAAGTATTTCAGAGACCTTTCAGGCTGCCCCTCCCATCACGGTCCTGGAGCTCTAGGAGGGCAAAATGGTTGCAGTGGACAGGTTACAGCCCAGTGCCACTTCCAGGCTCTGTTACCTGCATTTCATTGCAGGGCTTCTCGGCCACCTCAGCTGTGGCTCAAATGGCTCCAAGCGTGACTGCACCAGCCACTCCTGAAGGTACAGTTGTAAACCTTTATGTTATCTACCTGGTGCTAATTCTGTAGGTGCACAGAATGCAAGAGCTGTGGAGGCATGGCTTCCTCCACTTAGATTTCAAAGGATGTCATAAGCAGCTTGGGGACACAGACAGAGATGTGCCACAGGAGTGGAGACACCACAGAATGCAGCCCACTACAGCAATGCTTAGTGGAGCTGCAGGGGCAGGACCACCCGTAAAACCCTAGACTAGAGCTACCAGTGTGCAGTGGCAGGCTGGGAGAATTCCATGAGACTTCAGCGTGTGAAAACAGCTGTTTGACCTGAGTCCAGCAAAGCCATAAGGGTGCTGCTGCCGAGGATCTGAAAGGCTAACCCCACAGTGTTTCTAGGACGTGGCATACGGAGGAAAAGCTTTTAGCCTGAAGATGCTTTCCCTTTGGGGTTTTAGAATTACTTGAGACTAGTTATTCCTTTTTTCCTTTCCTCTTTCTCCCTTTCGGAATGGGAATGTCTATGCTATGCCTGTGCCACCATTAAATTTTGGAAGTAGATAACTTGTTTTGATTTCACAGGCTCATAGCTGGAGGAAATTTGCCATGGGATGAATTGTGCTTTGAGTCTCACTCATGTATGATTAAAATGAGACTCGGGACTTTGGATTTTTGAACTGGTGCTGGAATGATTTAAGATTTGGGGATATTGAAATGGAATAAATGTATCCTGCGTGCAAGAAAGGCATAAATTTCAGGAGCCAAGGGCTGAATGCTATGGTTTGAATGTGTTTTCCAAAATTAATGTATTGGAAACTTAATCCTCAAATTCACATGTGGATGGTATTTGGAGGTAGGGCGTTTGGAAGGTAATCAGGGTGGGGACCCTGTGATGGGACTGGTGGTTTTATAAGAAGAGAAAGGAGACCTGAACTGGCAAGCTCTAGATCTCTTGCCATGTGTTGCCTTCTGCTATATTATGATGCGGCAAAAAAGGCCCTCACCAGAGGCTAGCACCTTGATATTGGACTTCCCAGCCTATAGAACTTCAATAAATAAATTCCTTTTCTTTATAAATCACCCAGACTATAGTATTCTGTTATAGCTGACAAAAAACAAAGACCACAATCATTGTGCTCCCACTGTTCATCTAAAATCTGTTGTTTATGTGCAAGAATATATACTATCACTGAGATGAAAGACAAACTGTACCCAAAACAAATTGAATGGCTCTTAATTCTTATAAACTGACTCTCAAAATGAACTTGTGTAGTTGAGTCCCTATGTGTTGGGGACAATGTACCTGACAGTTTTCTGCACTTTCATGTAGAATCTGTATTCTATAAAGCCTAAGAAATAAAAATGTGCAAACTTGATTTCACAGGCTCGTACCTGGGGGGAATATGCCAACTATATTATTAAAAATTAATAATGTAATTGAAGTATACAACTATATTACTAAAACTTAACAGTAACCACAGATATTATTTAGAACTTAGACAAATAATATTTTTGTGGAGAGGAGTATTTTATTCCTGACACTGTTGAGAATGATCAGCAGCTGGTGATGATACAAAAAAGCAGATTTTTTTTTTTTTTTTTTTCTTGAGTTGTAGCCTCACTCTGTTACCCAGACTGGAGTGGCGCAATCCGGGCTCACTCCAACCTCCACCTCCCAGGTTCAAGTAATTCTTGTGCCTCAGCTTCCCAAGTGGCTGGGACTAGAGGCATTAACCACCACACCCAACTAATTTTTATATTTTTCATAGAGACAGGGTTTCACCATGTTGGCCACGTTGGTCTCGAACTCCTGGCCTCATATGATCTACCTGCCTCGGCCTCCCAAAGTACTGGGATTACAGGTGTGAGCCATCACGCCCGGCAAAAGCAGACTGTTTTGAAGTTGGTTTTAGTATTAATTTTCCGCTCTCTGAAGACAGTGTCTCATTGCTTGTACGGAGGGTTCAACTGTTCCCCAGCATGCCCGCTCCCTCCACCTTGAATCCACCACTGCTGTGCTTTATAAAGTTCTATTTCATTATTATACTAGGTACTTTGGAGTATAGTTTTCAGAAATCTTTTTTTTTTTTTTTACAGTGTATTTTTTTTCTACTGTGCCTCTTCTTAGTATATCAGAAAGCTTACTTTTGTTTAGTATTTCCAAATTATTAATTGTTGTTCAGGAAGCTGTATGCTGTTTGATGAGAGCTAGACCTATAGATAAATACTGATTTGTATTTAGCATGTATTTGTACAATTGTTTAAAAGGAATAATGGCTTTTAAAAAGTAAGAATGAAAGAGATTAAACAGAAGACTGTGGCAGCATTCCCAACAATTTTTTTTCATATCTGTTTATATTTGCCAATCATAGAAACTACCTTATCATATCCTATCTCTTTCATGGAGGCACAAAGTAAGAATCCTTCACAAGAGAGCCCTCTTTTTCTTGTTTCTTCATCCCAGTAAATAAGTATGCATGGATTTTTTTTAATACATTTATCAGTTTTTTTCTAATTGGTACCCCAAACAGTGCCCAGCCAGCATGATACTATGCATGGGTCTTTTTTAATGTGACACCATTGTATTTTTTCCCCTCCATAAAATTAATTCCTGTATAGAGTTTGAATGGAGTTTTTAAAAAAATCAATTAGCTTTTACTTGGAAAATCTTTTCCTGTCTTATATAGAATAATGATTTTTTTTTTCATCTGTCAAGGGGGTTATTAATAAATGTCACCAGTGGGGTTAGAACATTCTCTGGTGTTTGCTTTAGGGGAACAAGGGGATTGTCGGAAATCCTATCCAAACTGAACCATAATTAGAGAGAAAATGTTAGCAATTAGAACTATACGTTAGGCTTTAATTTACTACCACGGAAAAGTCAAGGGTGGCATTTCTATTCCATTTTTAGGTGCAGCCAGATGGATTGCTCATTACAGGGTAATTTTCATCGACTCTCTGCACTTCTCAGGGACAGAGCAGCTGAGAGTACTGTGCAACTCAGTGGCTCAGATTTTATTTTATTTTTTGTGGGGGTGGAGAGTGGGGTAGGAGGTTGAGTAGTTATCAATTTCCTACATAGTCATTGACATTATTGCAAATCTTTGTACATGCTGAA